CTGAGGTTAAACCACGACAAGTAGGCGGGCTGTTATGTCTGTGCTGGGTTACTAACAGCAAACCCTCTCCCAGGGTCAGTTTTTATGTTTTTAAGTTATTCTTGAAAATTTTATTTTTAAGGTGTTATTTTCTTAAAAGAAAAAAGAGAGAAATACTATCTCAGAGGATGGCTGGGGCTCTTATGTAAGATGTTTGTGGCCCATTTTCAGATTTGTGTTGTGATACTTCAGTATTTAGAAGGTGTTGGTGGTAGAGGGTTTCAAATCCCCTCTGATTGGCCTTGGTCTGGAATCGGAGCTTGAGCCTGGCTCTCCCGTTAGGGTGCCAGGGAAGATCACACAAAATTGAATGGCTTCAGCTGGGCAGAGATTTCCCTGAGGAACCTGTCGTCTGATGGTTAGGGAGTCCTTCTGATATGGAAGAGCAGGGTCCTCTGCTGTGTGGAAACCAAGAGTCAAACCTGGTCATCACACGACCTGGAGTATGTTGCCTCCCACTAGAATAGTGAGTGGTGTGGGCACCTGTCTGCGGGTAAAGCCCACTGTATATCTGGTTGTCTTTTGGGAAAGGTGGGATTTAGTTGCTGTGCAGGTAAGAGAAGCAGATGCATGACTCGTTTGGTAATACCACAGGGGCATCTGCATGTGCTGCTCGGCAGTGTCAGAACTGGAGGGGTTCTTCTGCACGGTGAGTGAAGAGGTGCCCATGGAGGGATGGGGTTTGGCTTATACATATTAGGGAAAAAATCATAGTGGCAGTTTTTACTTAAACACGACTTCTGGCCTACGTGCAAATTGTACCTTAATTTTGATATATCCGATCAGGGTCCGTGAGACATTTCCACCAGCATCTACCATAGGGCAGTCCAGTTCACCTGAGTAATGAAATAGTAGCTCATTTGTTTTGTTCTCACACATTAGGACTAGTCAATTTGTAAACTTCAGGCTGTTGTTTGTCAGAAGGAATCAAGGAGGAAATATAGTAAATAAAATCTCTTAAAGATTCTGTTCTAAAGTTTGTAGAAGATCCAACTTGTAATTTCTCTGAAAATTATCTTGTACTCGGAGATCAAGGACTGAAAGTTTGAGAAGTAAACAGTGTTCCTTAGGGAAAAAAAAAGAGGTTTAATCGCTGGTTTTAAATATAATGCAACTTTAACTATGGAGCCCCTATGGCGCCTTTATAATACCACATGAAACTCATGGTATTTTGGCTCACAACACTGATTTGCACTCTACTGCTGGCAGTTACACAGTTTACTGCTCCCACTATCTTTAATTGGTGGACTGATAAGACTGTAGAAAAACAGCATTATTTTGCTTTGGGGTGGAGAAAGCAATTTGGTAAGCCTGGGAGGGGAGGAGTATTGCTGATTCAGATGAACATTACTTTGCTCTGCATAATGGGAGAGGACCTTTCACTTAATTACCACTGGAAACCGTGAATGCTTAATTGACATAAAAAAGCCCAATATAGGCATTTTACAGTTTTCCTTTTGATCTTCCATGTGGGTGCATATTGTACATGCAATTTGAAAAGAATAACTAAAAGGCTCTGATGTGGATGTGTGCTAGCATGTGAGGAGGGCTTATGTGAGTATAGAGTTTGGTGCAGCATCAAAGAAAGGGATACACCCATTTCACTTATGAATAAATTGAGCATGTAATTAACACCTGGACTTCACAAAATACTTTTGAAACACAATTAAATCTGCTGCTTTTCTGCAATGAACAGAAGTGCTAAAAGTGAAAATATTGACCCCTGCTGAGTTTGATTTTGAATGTAATCGATTTTAGATGCAGACTGGATGCAAACCCTTGAAACCCATCAAACCATAAATGAGACTGAGCACCATTTCTTTACAACTGAAGTCAAAGGAATAAGGGCTTTTTAGAACTGGTTTGAGTTCTTAATTTATTTTAAGAGACACAAACTGTATTTTTGGTATAAGAAGAAGCAATTCTAATTAATGCAATCTTTCTCTTTTCCCATAGCAATTTATCCAGAAACAAGCTCTCAAGTTTGTCCAAGAAGCCTTTTCGCCATCTGGGTTTGTCTGATCTGTAAGTTGTCTTTTCTTAAAATAAAGTTTATTTTTGGCTGGAATAGAAGAACAAGACTTTGAAGTTTGTTCTGTTGAAGGTAGAGGTCCATCAGTGATTAGCAATGAAATTCTGCCAAAGAAAGCAGCAATGCTGGACACTTAAATACAGAGAGATTTTCATTCCAGGGCTTCAGAAAGGTCACATGTATGTTTTAAAACAATGTAGAGGTAAAAATAGCCTCTTCCCTTCAGCTTTAAAATATTTTATTGTGAGATTACTTCACAAAAAACCACCGATGTTTGTATTAAATGTTTGAGCTAGTGAAAGTACAGCGTTCTACAGATCTTCAGATGAAGCCTCTCTCTCATATACTTATATTGGCCTCACAGCTGCTATGCTTATGGTTGGCTATTAAAGAATATTTTATTTTCTCAAATTCTTTGAGTTGCATTATGCTTTATATAATAATTTGGTGATGAAGCACTGGTAAACATATATTTGTTGATTGTTTCAATATTACATTTTTATCCTCTGTTCCATCAAGCAGAATTTCTGTATTGGTATACATTCCAAAATTTTGGTCATCTTGTGCATTCTTTGCTAATACGTGGAACTGCAGAGAGCCTGCAGGAGCTTTGGGAGGGCTGGGGCTGCAGAGGAGAGGGAGATTGCTCTCCCGGAGGTCAGAGCAGAGTCAGAAGTTGTCCAAAATGCCAGTCCAAGAATTGCAACACCAACCATGCAATCCTTGACCTCTTCTGAGGTGAACTTCAGTGTGTGAGAAATGAAATGAGCAAATCCCGGTGCCACAAAAAGAGATTATGCCCCTTAGGTATGTTTTGTTGATAATTAAGTTGGTATAATCACTTTCTTTACAGCCCAGGGATCACTGCTCACTGGAATCTTCTTTCATAACTTGGTGGTCTCCAAGCACTCTGATGGAGAGACTAGCTAGTTGCAGAGCACTCCCATTGCTGTATGCCCTGCATAGGTCTGTTGGTTCTGAAGTCCCTGTTTCTTCATGTGCTGTATCTAGTCCCTGCCAAAAAGCCATTGTTAGTGTGTACTTGGCTGTAGGTTCTATGTTTTGAAGTTGTCATGGCCTCAAAAAAATAGATACAGGACTCAGACCAGTGCACAGTGTGAAACTTGGGCTTCTCCTAATTTTTCTAAGCAGTTAGTGGAGAAATGGAGTCATCTTGGCCCCTCTCCCTGGATTGCAGAAATGTAAGAGTGGGTATGCTGTAGCTTAGGAAGCATGCAAAAAAGGAAATGATTGCAATTTTGAAGGCATACTCTGCTCCCAGTTTCTTGGAGTTTGTCTGCTGCCAGTGACAGGTTTATTCCAAAGCATAAATCAAGCCACTCTTGAATCTCTCCATCTCAGGTGAACAGCTTCTTTTAGGCTGTGGGTGGAGTGAGTGCTTACAAAGATTTTGAAGGAGAACAACGTCAATATTGCTGGTCTTTCTGAAAAAGTTGGTTTGCTCCTGGGCAGAAAGAAGTAAAAAAAGATTTGGGACAGAGAGTGAGAGAATCAAATGTTACAAATATGTGACGGGAATTATGGAAATGAAGCTTAATGAGCCAGGGAATAGCACTTAGAGGCAAAACAACTGGCTGATGTGAATTAGGAGTTAATATATTTGTGCTGTTAATACCAGAGTTAAACAATGGCCATTCAGCATCATGGTAGTAGAAGCAGGGGAAGGGTACTGGGAGTGAGCCAGAGATGGGAAAAATGGATGGTGTGAAGGTTAAGCTGAGTAGTATTTGAGGTATGGAGGCAATGTATGGTGGGGGGCAAGGTGAGAGAGAGAGAGAGAGGATACAAAATTGAG